TACCATACATCTTTCACAATCATTTGGGTAAAAAACAAAAAACAAACCCAAGTGGATAGCGAAATGGAATTGATTCTGCAATGGACGTGGTAGACACTGACATGCCTCGTGCTCTTTCTGTGTTTATGATGACATTAAAATAAAGAAAGTTGCCTCACGATATGATGGTAGTTGGTAAAGAAGTATGTTAAAAAATTAAAATTAAAATGATTGTTGCATCCCTGGTGGGATTCGAACCCACGGCCTCTGGATTAGAAGTCCAGCGCGCTATCCCCTGCGCTACAGGGACCTGGCATTAAGAAGCCTACTTTTATGAAAAGATCCAACATACCATACATCTTTCACAATCATCTGGGTAAAAAAACAAAACCAAACCCAAGTGGTACTTATAGCGAAATGGAATTGATTCTGCAATGGATGTGGTAGACACTGACATGCCTCGTGCTCTTTCTGTGTTTATGATGACATTAAAATGAAGAATGTGGCCTCACGATATGATTGTAGTTGGTAAAGAAGTATGTTAAAAAATAAAAATAAAAATGATTGTTGCATCCCTGGTGGGATTCGAACCCACGGCCTCTGGATTAGAAGTCCAGCGCGCTATCCGCTGCGCTACAGGGACCTGGCATTAAGAAGCCTACTTTTATGAAAAGATCCGGCATACCATACATCTTTCACAATCATTTGGGTAAAAAACAAAAAACAAACCCAAGTGGATAGCGAAATGGAATTGATTCTGCAATGGACGTGGTAGACACTGACATGCCTCGTGCTCTTTCTGTGTTTATGATGACATTAAAATGAAGAAAGTTGCCTCACGATATGATGGTTGTTGGTGAAGAAGTATGTTAAAAATTAAAATTAAAATGATTGTTGCATCCCTGGTGGGATTCGAACCCACGGCCTCTGGATTAGAAGTCCAGCGCGCTATCCCCTGCGCTACAGGGACCTGGCATTAAGAAGGCTACTTTTATGAAAAGATCCAGCATACCATACATCTTTCACAATCATTTGGGTAAAAAAAAACCCACTAAAACCCAAGTGGATAGCGAAATGGAATTGATTCTGCAATGGACGTGGTAGACACTGACATGCCTCGTGCTCTTTCTGTGTTTATGATGACATTTAAATAAAGAAAGTTGCCTCACGATATGATGGTAGTTGGTAAAGAAGTATGTTAAAAAATTAAAATTAAAAGGATTGTTGCATCCCTGGTGGGATTCGAACCCACGGCCTCTGTATTAGAAGTCCAGCGCGCTTTTTTTTTCTTTTTTTTTTTTTCTTGATTAAATTTATTCACAGGAATATAATACAAACGCAGACAGTGCTGACACTGCCACCACAAAGATAAAAAGGGTATCACAGAAGTTGGGTGGCAGTGGTTAACATTTTAATTCTAAAGACAGAAATATGAGAAATAGATTTTTACATTTGATTATGTACACACAACTTTGTAATTGATTCATTTTTCAATAGTGAACAATCATTCAACTAAAATGACACTTTATGAAAGATTTGAAAAAAGCTTTCATGTGAAATGAAATAGTATAAGTAACTTTATAATTGAGCTAATCAAGAGGATGTTTCAAAAGAATGTCATTCCCATCTAACTCGATGAGGTCATTAGACATTATGTATTTTTGAATAAAGACATGCAATCTTTTCATTTTTGTGTAATGATATAAAAGAAATGTGAGATGTCTTTTTACCAAGGATTTGAAAAATGTGTTTATGTGAAAAGAGACTGTACCTAGGCTTATAACAACTCTTCTCTTAAATACTGCCAACCGATAAATTGATAACAGTATATCTAACAATGGTTTTGCCGACACACTTCTCTCAGGAAGAAACCCAAACAATAACCACAGCGAGAATTGTCCAAGAGTGAACCCAGTATCTTGACACACATCAGTGAGGATGTCAACAAATAGTGATTGTAAGAACGATAACTCTTTACAGAAGATGAACAAGTGCAGCACATCTTCTTTTTCATCTTGACAAACTGGACAAATATCTGTGTCTGTCAAACCAAATTGGCTGAGTCTGTCATATGTGTAAATAATGTTATGGGCAATCTTAAAATCTAGTTGTATACATTCGGCTGATTTGTCATTTTGATACACATTAACCCAAACATCTTTCCAGTTGATGTCAAGAGATATATTATTCCACCAATTCATGGCAACTGGTTTTTTTTAATATTTTGTTCTGAAAATTTCATAACAATATTTCACCGTAAACAGCTGCACTGATACATCTTCGTTCGCTACAGTACAAAGTATTTCTTTACAAGGAGGATTTATGACAACATCAGACAATATGATCTGTTTCCAATCTGTTGGAAGCGCATATAAAATAACAGCATAACAATTCTTGATTGTGGCCACATCAACATCAGGTATTGTTTCTTGTACAATTTCAACAATACTATCAGGTGACAAAAATTGTGGTACAACTTCATAGCAAATATCTTTTATGCAAGTGATTCCACCTTCAATGAATGATTTAAACAACAAAGTTTTGTTCATATACACAGTTAGAGGGTTGTTGAATAAAGGCTGACACATTATATCCGGTAAAGTGGTAGGTTTGCTTCTCTTACCACCACTGATGTCCTCCCAGGCAAGCAACAACTCAGCATAAAAAGGATTTACATGCAACATATCTTTTTTGTCAAACTTTAAACATAGTATGTTTGATTGTAATCCCATATTTAAATATTTTGAAAAGAAGAAAGACATAGTTGCTTTCCATAATGAGTCTAATTTACAATCTAAGAAAGCTTTTAGCAGTTTCAATCTTAAAGCATACTTTTTAAGGCACAAATTGGGTATATTTAAAACACCTTCTGTACATTTGCCCATGCATGTCACAGCTGCTATTTTTGGCTTTTTATTTACCCATAAGAATTTTGAAAACATTTTGGAAAAGGCTACTTCTACCCAGTGTGGCACTGGTAACACTGTAAAAGAGTACCATAATCTAGAGGCAATGAGGATGTTTAAAACCGTGGCTCTGCCCTGCAGTGTGAGTCGACGTTGAATCCATGAATTAAGTAGAGTTTGAATTTTATTTATCTTTTTCGTCCAATTTAGTGTCTCACAAGTGGCCAAGTCAGAGCCAAGATATATTCCCAGAAGTTCAACACAATCTTTTTTAACCTTCACGGGAAGACTAATGTTACATTTATTGAACTTGGCTTTACCAAGAAGTAACACCTCCGACTTTTGTAAATTGATCTTGGCTTGAGTTGCTTCGCAATAATATTTAATTGTTTCAAAAGTATTTTCCACTGACTGTGAGTTGCACACTGTAATAGTAGTGTCATCGGCATGTTGATATATTAAAGATGAAACATTGCCAATGTTGATGCCTTGAATAGATGGGTTATCTTTTATTAACAAATTTAATGGTTCAGAAATAAGCACAAACAGCATGGAACTCATCGGGTCCCCTTGCCTTACTCCACGGGATAGTTTGAAATATGGACTTAAATGCCCATTACACTTGACAGAACTTTTAATGTCTGTATACAAAATTCTAATCCAGGATATAAAATTATTCCCAAAATTGAATTTTTGTAAAATATCCAACAAGTAATTATGTGAAACTCTATCGAAAGCTTTCTCTTGATCTACTTTAATTAAAAATGCATCTTTATCTTCACTATCCACTATATCAACTACATCCCTGACCGAATGTAAATTGTGTGCAATGTCTCTACCTGGTACACAGCAGGATTGTTCAGGGGAGATAATATCTGACATGACAGACTTGAGTCTAAAAGACAATGTGCCTGATATTAATTTACAGTCAACATTGATCAGTGAAATAGGTCTGTAACATTTTAAATCTCTTATCACCTTATGACATTAAAATGAAGAATGTTGCCTCACGATATGATTGTAGTTGGTAAAGAGTGAGTGAGTTGGGTTTAACGCCGCTTTTTAACAGTATTCCAGTCATATCACGGCGTGTCAGCTTAATGTGGGAGGAAAGCCCGAAGTGATGCAGGTCTCAGATGTTTACCACTTCGGTGAAACCCACGAGCACGGGTATGGTGCTGACAAACCTAGAAACATAATCGGGGCGAACCGGGATTCAAACCCACGATCATAGGTTTCTGGCGTGCCCAAGGGACGTAACTCAGCACAGCGAATCGCGGCGCCTTAGACGACTGGGCCACCCGTGCCCCCAGTTGGTAAAGAAGTATGTTAAAAAATTAAAATTAAAATGATTGCTGCATCCCTGGTGGGATTCGAACCCACGGCCCCTGGAATAGAAGTCCAGCGCGCTTTTTCCTCCTTGATAAACCCAATAGAAATGGAGTTTTAGGAAAACTTTTAAAATGTCCTTCTCACTCATTGCAAGGTAACAAAAACAAACCCGAGTGGACAGCGAAATGGTATAAATGGTCGTGGTTGACATTAACAGTCGTCATGCTCTTTCTGTGTTGATGGATGTTGTCAATTAAAGCCCGTGAAGATCCGGGTTAGAGTAGGTCTTCAACAACCCAATTCTTGCCGTAAATGGCGACCGTGCTTGTCGTAAGTGGCGAGTAACCGAATCGGGTGGTCAGGCTCGCTGATTTGGTTGATGCATGTCATTGTATCCCAATTGCGTGGATTGATGCTCATGATGCCAATGACTGGATTCTCTGGTCCAGACTCGATTATTTACGGACCACCGCCATATAGCTGGAATATTGCTGAGTGCGGCGTTAAACAACAAACAAACAAAGAAAGATTGTTGCCAAACAATATGATTGTAGTTGGTGGCGAAAATCAGTTCCTATATTTGACTGTAAACGTATTGTTAAAATCCCACGGCCTCTGGATTATCCACATTTGGATCATGTTTGAATATAAACCGCCAGCGCCTGAAAACGACCGGAAATATTGCAGAAAGCATTGTAAAATCACACTGACTGTCTCTTCCAGAAGGCATGATCAAACTTTATCAAAGAAGAGTATGTTAAAAGTAGCATAGAAACCACGATATAGTTTGAAAATATATTTATTCTCGTTTCAAAAGTAAATATTGCATCAGTAGTATGTTTACATCACTATACTTATGTATGGCAAATGTATGTCAATATATACAATAATCTGCGTTGTTTATAAATGTGGATTGCACATTATGCACACTACAGAAGGTCCCACACATAGAAACAATACAGGAACATTTATATTTACATGACAAGTACATTCCAAGACATTCTTGAAACAACACCAACCACAAGTCAAAGACTTCATCAATGCTTAAATATAATGTAAAATGTTTTTCTATGGGGCAAATTCACAAACAGACTGTATAACCATACAGATAGCACCATTGATTTGCTAACTTTGCTCATGAAACATACCGGTTTAAAATCAATGCCATATCAGGAGTCTATCAGTATGACATTGTCATGCATGTACGATCAGTTCACTTGGAATACATTATCTTGTATATACTTAGGTAGCTATATACAATGGCATTGTGGAATGATCCTTTCGACTCAGTTACATCTGAGATCTTGGGTGCTTCTCACTGAAGCGTAGTCTCTTCTTCCTTATTTCGTCACATAACCAGATTGTCAACCACGGTTGATGCAGCTGTCATTTTGAGCATAGGAATGTTTGTGTTTGTCAAAATGGATGACGCATGTGGTTGCACGTTACACAGTTTGATATGAACTTGTAGGTCTCGCGAGATCTGTATTGACGAGACCGAACCCCAACATGGCGGAATGTTCACGAGATTTCAGTCGTAATGCCGCTAATGTTTCATCTGTTGAGCACTTGTCCACGCCTGAAAAGACAACGACACGTTTTAATTTATAGTGCGTATATAGTAGTTTCAATATATCGTTAATTCCTTTTGGGAATTAGGGTTGGGGACAAAGAGAATAGGTTTTACAAACTGAACAAACATGTGGAATTAAACCACGAGCTTCTGTGTGACAGCCGACCGCATTCCAACACACTTATTCATATATGTATACGCGAGTGCGTGAGGTGGGTTTGAGGGCGTTTTCAACAGTATTACAGTTTTATCATGGCGTGTCAGCTTAATGTGGGAGAAAAACCGAGGAGATGTAGGTACTAGATGTTTGTCACTTAGGGAATGGAACTGACAAACCAAGGCGATTCTGGGATTCGAAACCACGATCATAGGATTCTGGCACGGATAAGGGACGTTACTCTGCACAACGATTTGTGGCGACTGATCCCTCCCTATACAAGACATCATCTTCATTCATAAGGACCCGAAATGTTTGCCTTTATGACTGCTTTTCTGTCCATTTTTTTCTTCCATCTTTACTCTGGATTAGCAGGTGATTACTCTTTTAAAAAACACATTATTTTTATACAAAATACATCGATTAATGGGGTCATGTACCTTGAGACGTGAAGGTCGAGGGAGTAATACTAGACTTTGCGACGTCATACGGGTATGTCGAGACGCCAGGATGGTATGAGCTTAGTGTTGCGAGAGTTGAATTCACCGTCGGCGTTGACCATGCTGTGGAATATGTTGTCCCTGACGCCAGGCTGTTGTATGAGGGGACCTGAAAGAATGAAAGAAATAGAAAATACAAAATGTTTTCAATAAATATAAATAATTATAGAATTGGAGTTTTGCAACATGCCTCTATTGAGTTTCAGAATTGTTATCTTTGCAAGATCAATGGTCGCTCTTGCGTATAGCGACAAATTGCTATCGCAGGTTCATGCAACATACGCTCACTTTTTTCAGTCATGGGAAATCAATAACCATCGATCGCAGTCTATTCTATTTTTTTCTTTATGTAATATAATCTATCTTTTTTTATGACTCACAATAACATATTTTATATCGCGGAAGACGACTGACATTGGTGTCAAGGGTCACTCGGGTAATTCTTAGGAATCATAACCCGATTATAATGGTCGGATGTGATAACAACGGATAGCCAGCCTGCTACATTCAGATATTGAGATAACGACCTTCGTTTCAGTCTAGCTTTGTGGTTTACGCGTTCTCTCGCCACGCATAACAAAGGGTTCAATTCCCACAGTGGCACAATTAGTCAGACAAGACTTAGAAACAAGTATATATGAATTGTCAATGCAAGAGAATAGCTAGTCTCTATTATCCACCGAATGAGATTCCATTTGGCGCAAAAGGCAAAAGAGCTGTGAAAATTATATGAATGGACCACTGAAAATCAGGGATGACACCAGGTGTTCGCAAATGGTGACGTTCAAGCTTCACTCGCGCAGTCAAGCCAGATGCTTTAACAATAAATGTAGCAATAATCCCGTTTGAAATGACTATTTCTGACTCAGAAACGAAACATATGTGTATATAATATATGTGGTAAGCGCCTTACTTGAGCTGCATGGCTCAGATACGAGTCCATCAATCCTCCATATGATACTTCCGGTTTGAATGATGGCGGATGGGAAAATGCTTGATGAAGAGGGCCGGGCAGTGGTGGACGATGCCAAAACGTGTCTGAAAAAAAGATATATTACAATAGTAACACGGTTCATTGCCTTGGCCAAAAAATAACATGTACAATCAACATTTTATTCTGACATCACTGATCGCAACGATGGATATTTCCTTATTTTCATCAAACAACTGGCGGCATGGTAACCGATTTCGAATGAATCATAAAATGCGTACCGGAAGCGGAAGGAATGTGATAGCTTGATTCAGGAAGTCCATACGGCGCATGGGAGCTCGGCACTGCTTGAGGCATCTGGAGGAATGTATTGATTGCTGATAGCTGATTGGTTCCTACTTGTTTTCGCCATCTTGCGCGTCTATTGCTAAACCAAACTTGAACACGTGCTTCCGTTAACTTAGTTCTCTGTGCTAATTCTTCCCTTGTATAAATATCAGGATAATGCGTTCTTTCGAACGCTCTCTCGAGTTCTTCAAGTTGCTCCGCCGTGAAAGTAGTCCGGCTTCTCCTCTGTTTTCTCTTCAACTGCAGTCCTGGTTCAGAATCACAGTCCGAAACATCTGAAATAGATTAATATTTAAATAAATTTCAATAACGAAAATATACATCTGATTATGTACGATATATTCGAAAACTGGTTATTGGTAAAGATGATTATTCACTTTTGTGAACAAATCTGAACACGGCTGAAAAAAAGCACACAATCTTGGTGAAAACACGGGCTGGTCATATCAAAAACACGTTCAGTAAAGAATAAAACACGACTCCGAGGTTTTGGTTGCGATTGTAAGATTCCAGGGTGGCAGGGACCGCGCTTGTGATACCGAACGCGAATCCCCATGTTTTAATCACCAGGTCTCCGCCTCCAGAGTGTTTTACCATCTCGACCATGGACGAGGAGTGGTGTTTTATCAGTCTTATAAACCGTCAAAATAATTTAGTACTGAAACGTAAACCTATACGTAAACCTAAAATCATATAAGTAAACCCGTGTTTCCATGTTGCGATGCGCGGTATAAGGGGGGACACAACAGTGAAGCGTCGTCTCTGCTCTAAATGCACGAGGTGCGTTTTGCACGTGCAAATACCGGTACAGTGACATGACGTGAGGCACGTGGCATTTCAAGCTACGTTCCGACAGCAAGCAGTCGACTTGAATGTCCCAGAACCAGTGTAAGGTTTTGACCCAAAATAGCTTTATTGTGCTGACTGACATGACTGAGAAGAAAGTTCAAACAGTAACTGAGACGATTTTAATTTGCGTTTGGGAATCCGCTTTAATCCCGATCAAGAAGTTGACGAAAGGTCAGAAATTTGTTTTTCGATTTGTTTGGAATAGCCAGAACTGAAAACTCGTTTTCTTATAAACGTATCACCAATTGAGTCACCCATTTGACCTCACCTCATCTTATATTATAAAGTGTAAATATCGTTTACTGAATGACAATCTATCTGCTATAATATCAAAAGGATGGTGCATGGTTTTAGATATTACAAACACATTTATATAAAACAAGTATGCAACATTAATTTACAAAGTGTTTTTCAATGTCAATTTCAGGAGACAATGCTTAAACTATATGTCATTATTCAAAAGGCGATAAGTCATGAAAGCAATACAATTCTCACCTTTGTCAATGATATACAGTAACAAGTGTGATTATGGGCATGAACCGTGTCTTTTCAGTGAATTAAGTACTGTGAAGTACTGTCTCATGACAAGTTTCTTTGACATGAGGTACATATAAAACAGCCTCCCAATTGCTTTACTGCGGGCGACTTGTCATGACCCCAGACTGGATGGGGTGTTACAAGACAGCCCCATATAAACATGTCGCTAAATTCAATCAGTTACAAATCACTTCATCATATTTCATTGGGTTTCATAATGGGTTTTTTTTTCTCTTCATTTTTTTTATTATCTATGGGGGAAGAAAGGTTTCTATTTGTATTTTCAGTTTCTACTAACAGAAGCTATAGCGATGCGTCTCCCATGCGAGTATGATGCGATTTGATTTCATGGTCGGTGGAACTTTTAGCTTCAACTGACTGTCACTGACTGCTCACTTTTTAATACAGCCATCTTAAATTAATTGAATTTTCGGAAGGGGTTGAAACAGAAATCATCTCATGCTCAAAGGAATGTATCTCAAATAAATTATTCATTGGGGGTCAAAATGGCGGGTCGTTTTTCACAATTGAAATGAAATTCGGCTTAGAGTTATTGAAGGTAGCTCAGGGAAGAGATGTATGGAATAAGGTTTATGATTCCCCCCCTACTGTGAACTGCTAGGGTCTCTAAAGCTGGTTTCAAACACATCGGTCGTCTGCTAACATTCACAGCCGCACGGAACGACGGGAGTTGATCTTCAAAGGCGCCCCCTGGCGAGAGATGTGCACACGCCACGGCTCTCACAGTAAATGATCAAATCGGAAAATTCAGCATTAGTTTCAGTTGCTTGCCGATTTCGAGGGGTCTTTTCAAACCGTCGTAACGGTTCGGTACACGAAGAAAATGACAAATTTATTATGAGAAATTTAAATGTTTCGTGCTGTGAGATGTTTAATAGCTGATGGGGGGATCTCCCGCCACGACATTGTAGCGTAGTCAGGTTTGTTTCACGGTTCATAATTCACCCACAATGACTTCTCAATTCAAAATCTATTCTACACCAAAAACGAAGCAGAAATAAGTTGGGTATAATTTCGTGGCTTGAAAAGGACTCGCAAACTGACATTAATTTTAATACTGTCTGTTTGTAAGGCTCAAGAGCCCGTTCCTTGCAAAAGAATCAACACGGTTGGACTTAGCGTTTGATCCATCTCCGTTTAAAAAGGTGGTCAAGTTTTGGTAAAAATTACCAACAACCGAGGGAGTGTGCGCAATTAACAACCACCCCCGATGCGCAGATCCATCAATCACGTTTATAACTCCTCACAGGTGTGGTAGATGCGGCGAGCTTGACACCACCACTGAGCCCTGTTGGGTTATTTTATAGATGAGAATTTGAGTGTTCGACCCAGAGCAAACGAAAATGAGACGCTCGGCTCGAGGTAATTTAAAGAGAAACTTTGAATCAAACGGCACTTTACTCTCACCTTGACATGACCCCCTACAAATTTAGGTGGATTCAATCCCATAAAAATATGTTCCATTTAGAATTAGAAACATCTGGCCCTACTCAAATACCTCACCGCAAACAAAGTTACATTGAGTGCTCGACTATCTTAACGTTATCTTGAACAAACGCTACGTCATTTCGTGAAAACGTCCGTCATTTGAGAACAACCAGCAATGCTAAACATATAGATCACAACCAGTACAGCATTGACGACAAAGCATCCGCTGAAACAAATGGATCCAGGTTTATAACGACTGATGCTATGTTATGGTTAACAATCTGGCTTCATCATTTGCGTCATCAGCTCGAACCTCGTGAATTTGAAACTATAACAAAGGGATAAAGAGTAATGAAATGGTCAGCTTGCGCCTATAAATGACAGTAATAGAGTTAAATCAAGCTTGCTTGAAATGGAATTCTAAATTATTTTCTCAGCAATTATTGGTGTTTTCTTTCACCCGCAATCCATGTTTACCCAACGAAATTTAATAATAAAATCACGTGTCACTTTGTAATGTTCAATTCACACCTTCTCGTTTAACGCGCATCCTGGCGCGCATGACACAAGCTGTCAATCAAACACGTGGTCAGCAACAAGCCTACGGCAGTACACGCCATTTAGGACAAAAGTATATTTTCTTAGGCCATCGGTAGAATGGCAATAGTCTAAAGTGGAGGTAATAGAACGAGCGAAGTCAGAGTTTAACAAGGGAGACAATTAGCCCTATTTCACGGGTCAGTAGAGGGCGCTTCCTTGTAACACACACCTATCACTTATCTGGTTTGTCAGAAGGAAGAGATATGAGGATTAGGCGCGACAATGGAATGGTTGTTGGCCAAACAACCTCTTTAATAATAGGACAATCAAACAGCTCAATGCAACTGGACACATTTTGCTATTCCTTGCTGTCACTTCGTTGTACTAATTCTGTCCCCGTTTAGACTTGAGTGAGTAATTTCTGACTTGTCTATTCGGATCTTCGTCACTGTCACGTGACTGTACGGAGATTTCTGCTAACGATCTCCTAATTTTAAGTATGAAATTGGGTATTGAGTGATTTGAATGCATCACGCGTTTAAGGGTGTGTCAAGGGCTCAATAAAATCGTTCATTAATTCGTTGAAAAAACATTGTTTTTCATTATCACTTTCAAATTGATTCTATGAATTCATTATACGGATGACCAAAACCCAAATCATGATAATTAAATATTCGTTTTAGCTATTCAAAAATCCATCACGCGACAATTCATTTTCAAACATCACGAGGCACACAATAGGCCATAAACTAGAAAGACATTATACAGCATCATTAATGATTCTTTGACGTTGGAGCACACACGTATAAAAGTCCAGCTACACCGAATGTTTAAATTCAAAGTAACAGTCATAATATTCGTTTTGCAACAAACATGCTATGTTCCGAACAGTAAACATCAGTTGATACACCTTTTTCGCCGTGAAAGTAGCACGTCCAGTTGTTCAGCATTAACATCCCGCTTTTTGTGTCATGTTCATCAACTTTGATCATCGTGTATCCGGACAAAATTATAGGCAGATAACAATTAAATTTTTATTCACTCTGATGAAACTTCAGATAAAACGGTGAGATATTGTTAAAACATGACTGCACCAACAGCTCAATTTTGAAATAGGAACTAACATACTGTACTGTTTTCAAAAATTAAGTAGATGTTTGTGCACTCTTTTTGTTGTTAAATGCCACACTCAGTAATATTCAAGCGGCATGACGCCTGGATTCTATAAGGACAAGAAAGTTTCATAGCCTTATCGTATTTATTTGTACTTTTTGTATTTTATAAAGTATACCATTAATATGTTAACTGATCATACACTTCGTATGCGGAATGTCTCTAAACCGATATAAACTAAAACGATTTTGAATTGAAGCATATACGTATGCCTGGTGCAACGAAATCTGTACTTTGATATACCTGTAACTTTATGGCCCTTCAGCATATGTGTTGGCACTAAAGTATGATTTCGACGCACCTCTTATCTCGAACTACGGATAACTCGATATATGTTCGACGGTCCCCATGACTTCGAGTTTAGAAGGTTTCGTTGCACAGGTTGATGGACAGTTGATTGACCAATCAGATTCTGGATCAATTTATCGATGATGGATTGAAATTAAAAAAAACATCTATGTGGAGAGTGAGTCAGTATGGTTTTACGCCGCTTTTAGCAATATTCCAGCAATATCACGGCGGGGAACACCAGAAATGGGCTTCACACATTGTACCCATGTCGAGAATCGAAGCCGGGTCTTCAGCGTGACGAGCGAACGCTTTAACCACTAGGCTACCCGACCGCCCCTCTATGTGAAGAGATATGCTTTCGGGGTTTTATGGATATGCTTGTCAAAACCTACGATGTACCTGTCCAAACAAACAAATAGATCCTTACCCTCAAGTTTATCTTCACTTGTATCTGCAGTGTCGTCTCCTGCAGAATCTACCAGTTTTTCTCCGTTGCTCCTGGCAACCTCTTCTTCCTCGTCTTCTCCATCTATGCTCTCGTCGTCGGAACCTTTGCAGAATTTGGACCGGAGAACACGACTGATTGAGCTAACACTCGGGACAGTGCTTCTGTCACAGATTCCTTCCTTGAGTAGCCTATCTCGTATCTCCCAGCTGAAAATACCTGGGTTGTCTTTCTTGTACGTCTCAATCCGTTTCTCCACTTCCGGTGTGGCAACCCGCGGCTTGCTTCCACCGATGACGCCAGGACGTATACTTCCGGTTTCTTGATAACGTTGAAGTATTTTTGAGACGCACCCGTGGGAGACTCGAAGCTGACGGCTTATGACGCATGGACGTACACCTTGAGACGCCAACTCGACGATCTTTAGGCGGATGTGGTTAGGAAGAGGACGGCCGTTGATGAAGACGCCGCCGAGTTGATTTACACGACCTTGGCCTAAATGAAATGGACACATGACGATTTGAAAAAAACATTTGACACAGGTTACTGTATACTGATGAAAAATTATCGACATTGCAGTTATACGTATAGTACTGAATTCAATCATTTAGAAAAGGCAAAAAGTTATTTTGTTTAAAGAACAAATTTAAATAGAGTTATTTAAGCCGTTTGGAAAATGTTTAATTAAAGAACATTGCCTTTGAGTGGTCACATTGTATGCATTAACATCAGAAAATCAATTCGCGTTACCCTGCGATATTTTTCTTGAGGATATGAAACACCCAAGAAAGATAATTGGAAACATCCATTCATAAATTAAATATTATTTTCTCTTTGAAAAAATCATAGACAAATTGCGCGATTGCGCGATAATTAAATGCCGTATTGACTCAACAACTTTATGACAACACAACTTGTATACAGTTCTCAGTTGTTATTTAACTTGGAAGGAATTTATACTGTTTCGAGGATTTGTGAAATCCGGCTTATTAGTTCTATCATAACTTTCATCAAGACGAAATTTCATCAGTTTCTTTATAATCAATAACATATCAACACTCGTGTGTTTCTTAATAGAACGTTTTTGCACGACAAACAGACCCACCGGTTTCAAAACATTGCCCAAGGTATAAACGTCAATACATTTTCAGAGTGTGGGGCACATCTAATGACCCTATTCTCAACGTGATAAATAACAATAAATTAAATAGGATGAAACATAATCTATTGTAAACACTGTTCATTCCTCAGCCATTACTGTTCCAAAAGTCACCCGTGTAAAAACAACACAATGTCTCAAAATAATAAAGTTACTTTTGAGGAAATAGGATAGGTTCGGCCATGTTGCAGGCTTTTATTTGTTCAAGCTTCCCATCTTGCAATAAATGAAAAGAGTAATGGTTAATTGTCGCACAGACGTTTAAAAGCCCGAACACAAAAGGAAGCAGCCCTTAGATGTATTTTCAGTCCATTTGATTGTATGGTTATAATACAGGAGCTTGACTCCGAATTTAGCCATTAAACATTCTGCTAGAATACTTCAACTAAAATTCATTTTAGTCAGGATTTTTTTTATAAAGTTTATATAATTCTTTCATACAAATACATGTTCTCAATATAAAGCGTGCCGATGAAGGTTTTTAGTCTGTATTCATCTTTCTTAACTTAACATTCATTATGTAATTACAGCGTCATAGTTAAATTTTCGATGATTTCTGACATAGTTAACCGATGCGGTGTTTCAAACCAGTGAACTTGTTTGAGTTTTGGAAATAAGTCCCGTGTCCGATGATTCCTATGAAAAGCGACGATAATAGTATTGTCCATTAAGGTCTTTTTAATTCTTTTCACGATATAGTCATAAAATTAGTTGTATGGAAAATATTTCCACTCACAGTAGGCTATTAAATATCTAAATTGTGGATATAACCATAAAATGATAATAAAATCAACAGAATGTTAAGCGATTATAACGTGACAAAAGTTAAAAAACTTAGCCCCTTTATTCCGAAATTTATCTTTAGGAAACCACTATCTGTAAAGTCAATGTGCCCATCTTTGATATTTGATATGTAATCCTATTTATCATAATACAACCGTAATTTGTGAAAGACTGTCGTTTAATAGCGTCCGATGTACATCAAGGATGAGCGCCCTATAAAACTCTTAAAATGCGTATTAATGCTAACGTGGATAAGTATATTGTTAATGTAATGGGAATTATTTGGCATAAATCTTTCCTCCATAATTTCATATGGGCTTTTTACCGCACACACCTTCGAGAGAGACAGATGAGCATTATTCTAAACGCTAAACGCTTAACATACAAGGCAAACAGAAAAATAATTCTTTTTAGAACGTCAATGCAGAATTATTCTCATTACAACTAATTGCATATATCGCCATACACCACAATGTACTTGCATTGGATTTGAGTCGTTATTCACATTTTCAAGTTATATAATGGCTATTTGTGTTTTGTATTTGTACGTATGAAAAATGAATCCAAACAATACCTCCATACACATTAACGTGCATTATTTCCACGAATGAGAACAAGAAGAATATTCTTTTTAACGGATGGTATCGTAAATGTGAAAAAATAATCATATAATTCTAAAACCGCGTCTCATCAGACGGAATCGTAAAAAATACCAATTCTGTATGGTGTTTTGTATTTAATTACGTCATACCTTTATGCGCGGTGACCTAGTTTGCATTTATGTTCTTATACTTATAGCACTAAATAATGCAACATAATGCCATGAAAACAGATTAAAGTGGCTTTCATCTTACAATCACATAAACAACCTTTCACTCTCCGTTCAGTATATACAGAGAATATTTTCTGAAATTATATATATATATAAATATATACTCGAAGGCATTCATGGGCATTGGCTACAAGAATATTGAATAGTACTTGCTGTTAACTTATTGCACCGAAATACAATGATTGTGATTTGTGCATACCATTAAGGGTCATAACGAAATGGATGCTAAAAATCGATATTCGGCTGTGTTTATGATGTACGCTTGTTGTTCCGATTAAACACACAGTATTAAAGGGACATTCCCGTTATTTATAGGCCGCAAAGCTGCCATCCACATAAATATAAGAACAATGGCTTAAAACTGAATTTACAAGAGATTTTATGTCTTGGCGTATTTGATAGCAATCAAATTTGTGTACCAATCGTTATGGCTGGCGTCATGGCTCATATCAATAATATGCACAGTTTATACTAGAAACACCCAGTCCTTTCAGAAAGTTACAAATAATGAAATCATGACAATAACAAACTTGTATAAGAGCTTTTTGAAAATACTCTGTTTAACTTCCCTAAATAACCAACCTGTCCTGCAGAAATCGTTGAGCCTCTTTTGTGTTTAAGTCGACTTTTATACGTAACCCTCCAATGAAAATTTCCCAAGCTGCCACAGTCTTGGTAATTACAGCTATTTATGACATTGTGGCACTTGTTACCAGCTCATTATACCACATACTGATATGTACAGCGAGACAGTGGGAAAACACTCACGAGAAATATACACTCTTTTCACAATCAATACTGCTATAGGGAGGTATAATTGACAGCCGTCGACAAGTTGCGGACACATTGTCCTTGTCTATGGCACCGTGTTCCTTTTCGCGACCGTCTGTCGACGGGGGTTTGTTAGAAGGTGGTGGAGGCCAAAGTTTAATCAATGATGTAATTACTATAAAGTATTCATTTGGAAATGGGTTTCAGAACCAATTTTGATTTTATGCTGACGTCCAACAAAAGAGCCCCACGTGGATATACACAGTAATAACCCTCGAAGAGTGGAAATATTGACTTAATGGAATTTAGATTTTTGCAGCGAAATCGCAAACTTTGGTATTACTGCTGTGTTGATGTTCAGCTTCGTGTCATTTAAAGACAACTGTGACGAATGGAATGATGATTATTATGATTCGTATGAGTATATGCAAATTTTAACGATTATCGGTACTTTAGTACGGGATGGCCTTTGATATAAAGTGCTTGAACTAACGCCTGATGAATCAATAAGTCATATGGATGGCAGACATTTGATGCCCGAAGTTCAAAAGAAATGACAACTACAATGATGGAAAGACTATGAAAAGGCAGCATATGTTTACAATGAAACATTTAATTTACTGTCGAAGCATACACAAGCATCAGGTACATGTCGAACGATTTACGAAAGGTATCAATAGTTAAAGTTGATCATCATAACGGGCGTCAAACGGGACACGTGTATACGGTGCAGGTTAGAGGTAGTTCAAAATCATATTAATAAAACTCTTTTGACTCCCCAAACGACCTTCTATGACCATGTTATTTAGTATAAAACGTTGAGTACTGGAATGTAATTGTACTTCTTATAAATGTGGTACTGCACGAATATTGATTGTATGGTGATTTCAATATCTCAAACTATCATGTTCCATTGAAGTTTAATCACCAACACTATCTGAAGACCACAGACAGCGAAATGCATTTTGTTCTTAACTGACTCCATATATTTAAAAAGAAATTATCGCATTTTAGTTTCAGGAATTATACTCTCAGATTAATTTTGGTTTATTACCTGTACACCACATAAATAAAATATTTTAAGATTCTGTATATTCTTAAATGCGCATTTCAACATACTATTTTCAATACTTACAACAGCGCCATAAGAAAGAAATCTTGAAGAGGAACGCATACAAAATGGCGATACTATTTTAAATCATTACTCAGGTTGGTATCATAACATTCATTTTCACATAAGATACAACTGTGGAATAGGTGTTATTTATCGATAAACATGGATAACAGGTATTTTCAGCACAGTTGATTAAACGCGATGTATTAAAATAATTTTAAATCCCATTGCCTTTGTCTGTAGGATGCGCTGGTGCCTAAAGTGATGAATGTTAAAGTGCAGACACCATACTCATAACAGATGAATTTACACAAAAAATGCACCAACGCTTCATCGCAAAACAACAGGTGCAATGTTGGTGAAAATGAACATGTCATTACAAGTGAGACTCAACGGGAAACCATGGAAAACGGACAGAAATTAATTACTCCTCAATGATTATTTAAACGATGTCGACACCGTTTAGTTAAGGAAAACAGGTGGGGCGAAAAGATACATCAGTAGAATACCAATCCATTGACATATGACAACAACAACTACTATTTTGAAAGTAAATTCGGGTGATAAAGGTTTATTGTTAAGATATCAACCCAACAAACAGACATCATTTCTCATCTGCGATCTTTAACAAAGAAAGTCCGAATGTTTTCATTGTGGAGCTCTTCAGTGCCCGAAGGCGTGAAAACGCATTACGTCCGGCACGAAACCACAAATCGCCTACCCAACTGTTGCGTCGGAGCCCGTAACAAAACTAAATGATTCGCTTTGCCACATGGCCTTGATTACTTAGGCACTGACCCACCCTACCATGATAATTTAATTACACTCTTTGGTTTTGAATCATTAACTTTTTCGCGCCTTGGGCGTACCAATTTAACTTTTCTCATTGCTCACACTTTTTTCTTTTGTTTATATATCTTCAAAAATGTTACATATATACGCACACACAGAAACATAGCCCGAAATTGCACATTTGATAATCGTGGAATTAAATAATCAAATAGTTAACGATTAATTTAAATATTAAGAATTGCAATCTTCTCATTTTTCTGATGTAGATGATCTACACGTCCTAGAACTAATCATGCGATGGCTTTTCTTTATCAAACCAATAATTTAAAGTCAATTCGTTACTTGTAGGTGTATGCTATAAATGTGGCTAATTTAACTGTGGAATTATAATAGGTTTTACATTAGCCTACCACAGTAAAGATCACCTTTCCACGAGTATTGTTATGAAAGAGATGGTTTTGACATTTACCTAAAAATAAGATTACCAAACCTCAGCATTAATGCGATCCCATTTATAGTATTATCGCTCATTGCAAGATGAACGTCCTAGAGATGGTAAATATGAAGCGGAATTATGCATCATTAAGAAAGGAGTAGTGATTGCGCACGCGCGTAAGTGTTATTAGTCAATTAGTTTATGACGCGTTAAGTGAAGAGCATGTAAATTTGCAGATTATCTGATTCGATAAGGGACTTAACATTAGTTTGAGGTGTCCCGAAAGCGATGGTACTAAAATTCGGCTTCTAAGTAAATTGCGAAATATCCAAAATAATAGTATCATCATTATCCGATTACACAACTTTAAACAATTTAAAACCTTCCTCTGAAAACGTATAAAACGAAAATTTATTTACGACGTAGAACACATAAGGATATACATTGTTCAAACAAATTTAAATTACAGACGTGTTATAATTAAAAGCACAAATACTGAATCAGTCTATTTGACAAATTTGACCTTAGTAAGCCATTGGATTGATACAGATTGTAACACACCAAACATTCTTAAACACACACCTTTCATAAGTGCCTCTTGTTCTATCCGAGAAAAATCCATCATGTCACTAGAGACTTTCCTGGCCCTGCTTCGTGCCAAACTTCACCTTTAGCACTCACGTTGCGATTTGAGAAGCGAGGGGTGTGATGGCAAATTTGTAGTCTTAATTTTATGCAAATTTTGCGCTTAATTATGCACGTTAAGACAATTGACAGACGGGATATCTCAGTCAGACTTAATAGGGGGTCACCGTCTCAGGATATCAGGCACATGTCCTACCCCCCGTCTTGAAAACTGTGCCCTATCACATTTGGCAATCTCAGCGCTAATTAAGCCATGTAATAAAACACTCGGATCAAAGCAACACAACACTTTGCGAGCAATTTCTAAACTTTCGGCGTTGTTTTAAAGATAGGATCATTACAAACTTGATAAGAAGGCAACCTGTTAACCAACAGGTTACCAGCATATTAACACCGAAACCTTGTGGCAAGTTAAATGTTGAAAGAGGCGCACCGCAAGGAAAACACCTTGCTCTGTCTCAATTGTCATTTCTCGCAATTAATTGCGAGACCAATCAGCGTTTGTTTTACTCAGCGGGAAGTTTATATAGTCCTTTAAATAGTTACTTTCTTGGAGGATTGTATTCAGTTGAGTTAGCTGGTTGGTCCGCTGTTATTCATTTGAGATAACTCATTTCAGGTAAATCGTATTTGAGAGGACATTTCTACCGAATACGAAAGATACTTCACGTATATCACCTATGCTCTATGGCAGTTCTCCAATTATATTAGTTCATGCTCTGATGGAATAGACATATCTGTTTTATGACAGTTTGACTAAGAATATTACGATCATGATTATTGCTAAGGTGTAATGATATTTTACTCCGCGAAAAACATGTTTGAAGCCAACGTTTTAAGTTCCCAGGAACCTGTGTCTACAATGTGTATTTCCAAACACGATATACATTGAAACTAAATGCAAAATAATCCATCAAAACAATGGCAGCGGGCTTGGTTGATAAGAAACATTGCTTACGATGTAAAATTCAACAAAACTATCTCAATGTGTATCAATGTTTAAAATGTTTGTCTGTGGGCACAGACAATATTGAGCTTCGCTCTACGGTAGAACTATGAATGTTTAATGAGCATATTATTTCGTTAATTATATCAACATGCAACAAATCCATAACAACGGACCCCCAGTGAAGAGAAAACCGTATATAAAACGAAGAAAACAAAATACAATAAAACTGGGTGGTATATTGGTGAATACTTCTTTGGAATAGAATATCCAAACATTTACATTATCGACACTATGTGTCTGTCCTATCTGTACTTCATGCAAATATTAACATTTTCCCTCTCCCTTCAAACGTAATATAATCCTAGACCTGCGTCATAGCACATCAAATCGGTAATTTGTATCCGACACAGAGTAATTGAGGTTAGTAAATAATTTCACGGTAAATGTATCCGCACACTTCGGCTATGAGTTTTAGCACCAGCGTGACTGTGAATGCTGGATATAAGTTAGTTAAGGTGTGAATACATACCTTCCATAGACAGAGGCCTGAGAAGGCCCAAACCAGCCAAGTGGTACGGTAAAACGGGGTTCAACATATCTCAGGTTGGCACTGGTAGTTCTAACACCTCTGTCGCACTGCGGTGTGAAATTTGTATCATAACTCGGATTTCGTCGCGTATACGACTTTAATATAATTACTTAGGTCGGTTGACAGAGCAATACTTCACACATGGCTAGTTTTACCTGCGGTTGGAGCGTTGTTGTCACGTGATGTTGATTTTCTTCCACATGAATGGGGATGAATGAGGATCGGACCTGTCAACCTGTCACGGAATCAATTTGGGGGTGGGGTGTACGGATCTACTTTGAAGACGGGGTAACTCTTGACTTTTGTTATATTGCTTAAGTGAGGTGGGATAATAGGAATTTATAGCATACCTGGAGGAGTAAAGAAACTATATCAAGAACGTTTGAAAGATGTGAAGGGCTGTTGGATACACGAATATGATAGGGCATTAGCCAATGTTGAAGACTCTAAAGAGTTGAGCATTTTCATTTGATGCTTTTCAAATTGCACACAGTGCAAAAGAAGTGAATGTTTGAACTCAATTTGCCCAACGCATTGAGTGTCTTTTTCTTCACGTTTGACTCCCCGTACGTGTTTCGTTGGGAAAACTACATTTTGCTGTGCTTTGATGCATAATTCACTTTATTGACAATTTGCGGAAAGGTTCTGTCAACTATTTCTATATGTTTGAAATGAATTCATATAAAGAAACAACGTGTAGGTTGCATTAAGCACAAACGTTGTTTACATACTCATACTATTGCATATTATCGTATTGGGACCAAAACATCTGAATAAGTCAGATACTGTTAAAAACTTTGACACCTATTAAAACCGTCTTCATTATCATTAGAAAACTCATTGTACCTTTCCGACTATATCACTGAGAGAAATTAAAAAATATTATCTTTGTCAGGTAGGTATTCAATTCAGTTGGTTAACGTCGCTGAAACACTGCCGAATCGACGTTACATTTCATTCACACTCTCACGTTGGTGGCATTTAGATACGTTTGAACGAACAAAAATGGAATAATTTCAAAACTGGTCAGAGACACATTGATCATGATGACAGAATAAGGAGTGCCACACACAGCTGTGCAGGGTATTACAACGCAGGATGGTTAACATAAACTTAAAAGCATTAAGTAAACGACAACATATCCCTGGATACACGTGGCATTATCATTTTCAACAATTTGAACGAGAAAGCTACGAGAAAGCCTTCGATATCCAATGTGAAATACAACTGGCCAAAGAAAAACTAGTAAAAATATGACAAGATAACAAAACATATTATTTGTTTAACTCTTGCGTTGAAAACTTTTATAGAGACAGATGACATTTCAAATGTACGTGTAAGTATAATATAATATCATATTGTAATTAAACTAGCAGGAGACAGAGCAAGCCGATTGTTCACCTGGAAAAAACAACACCGGGAACATACGGTAAAAGTCAAAATAGGGAATTGCATCAGACATAGAGTTTGTCACTGATGCGTCAAATTTGGAAATGGTCTTCACATGTCTACCATAAAACCTTTTGAAATTTTTACTTGAAATCTTCATGCTCGACTGTACCCCAACATTTCTTACATGTAGACACCAAAGGCTGGAGCTGCAGGAATATTGGTCTTTATAAAGGGAAAGTTGACTATTGGAAAATTGAACTCATCCCTCTTGTCATACATTATTGTTTATAGTTATTTGTCACTCTGAATCTTTATGCACAGATCCAAACATGGATCAGATGAGGCAGTTTCAAAGGTCTCTTTTATTTCTTGTTTTAAACAATAACTATATTCCATATGGTCTCATATATTGTCTTTAAAGTTTACATATTCTGAATATAAAACGCCAACGTCAGAGAATAACCAGTCTCGATTATCCACCGAAACAGATGGGCGTAAAAGGCAAAATAGAGGTGAAACGTATGTGAATGGATCACTGGAAATCAGTATTCTAAAATATCATCTTGATCTGTAAATTGAATTTGTACGTACATAAGGTACGTACACAATCTTCAAATACCGAAAACAGACACACAAATGACAACACCGTACGTTTCTGCTTTTTTACGGAGAGTTTGAGGTATTGCAGCATTGATGAACAAATCATGAATAGGTTTCATAAAACATTTATTAAAACACACACAACAATTTCAGTTTCCAGTATTGTTGCGGAAATGTATGTTGCATGTAAATAAAACAAAACATTTCAATAATCAAAAGAAACATTTTCTTTAAGCAGAGTCCGTTGTTCGATTCCAAATACATCATAAACTTGTGTTTATAAAAATAGGGATGACTCCAGGTGTTCGCTAAAAACAACGTTAAACTATTGACAATAGTTAATGGCAATGAATGTGCAGTCTGTATTTATATTGCTGCTTCGATGTTTTGTCGTGGTAACACAGTCCGTATAAACTTTCGTTTAAACTTCAAACGTATTTTACTGCGAAAGTAAATCAAATGGATTAGGCACAAGTTACATTATGGTAACATACATACATACATACATACATACATACATACATACATACATACATACATACATACATACATACATACATACATACATACATACATACATACATACATACATACATACATACATACATACAATGCAACTTTTATCAATATATTTTATTATATATTGACATGGAAAAATATTATTAATTTACAACATGAACATTATACCAATATTAGTACAGATTCAGTAGGTCTTTGTGTACTATAACCAGCATGTATAACATACTGTATACAAGCAACACGGAAGACAAGATACACGAGAGAAGTATCAAATTATTCTTATTCTAATCAAAATAAAAATCTGTTTGTTTTCACATTTGAACACCAAGTATACAACAAGAAAATATATGCATTCATAATAAAATATTGCGAAAAAGTTTAAACTTGAGATTACTGCTTGAATAGTTGAACCTAAGACAGTTTATGGCATGTTACATCTTGTCAATCCACATAAAAGAACCCCTTCCTTTCTCATTTAAGATTCATAAAGCATACAATCTGAGTAATCAATTATTCATTTAACTGAAATTAAAATGAACGAACACAGATTCAAGATGATGACATAAGGAAAACGAAAGAGAAGAAAAAGCAATTATGAACTGATCTGTTATGACAATTTCGCGTTTAACATGACGAGGCATGATCCGGGAATTAGTGCATAACTTAAAAGCAACAGAATGGGTGTTGATGTGTGGGTGCGTGCGTGCGTGCGTGCGTGCGTGCGTAGTTGCGTGCGTATTTGCGTGCGTGAGTGATGATTTGCTGAGATTACGAACATAACCGTTGTCTTTTGTTGTTGGATTGAGAAAAATTCTCCATGCACTTCATTGAACTGAATAAATTCGAATAAATTGAAACCCGATTTCAGAATGTTCGGTATCTCACTTATGGTCATAAAAAATATCTAAAAAATATTCGGAAATGTGTATTTAAATAGTTTTTGTAAGTACAGTGTATTTTATTGTACACAAGCGCTAAGAGATATTTCAAATAAATATCCTTGAACCAAAATAAGAATTCAGCCAGTGAGCCTATAAAAACTGACACAGAAATCGTCTTTTTGATAAACAGATTGTGTACGAAGTCACGCGAGCAATTTCATTTCAATTTTCAGCTAATAACGTAAGAAGTGCTTCAAACAGCCGCCACGGGTGCCCTTCAGGTCATTTACATCAAAAGTTACAAGAAATAACAAGGTGGACCTGTTGAACACTCGCATATATAATGTCGAGGGCGTTGTGTTTTCACAAAATCATTTCCACATACAATACGTCCGTCGGGATAGCGGGTTAGAATACAGGTTCCCAGTCCCTATGCTGGTCGTAAGATGCGTCTAAATGGATCAGGTGGCCCGGCTAGGTGATTTGGTTGGTAGCTTGTCATCGTGCCTCAACTACATGGGACTTTGCACTTGATGTTGCTGGAAAATTGCTGACTGCGGCGTTAAACAACAACATTTTCAGCGACCGATTGTCCCACGAAAAGTATGGATCGAATAAAAATGTTTCTTTATCCCAAGTTAATATTTGCATAATGGCGGTGGTCATGAAATGGATTTGTTTTAAATCATTTTCGCCTTTGACATTTTATCTGTGATCTCTTATATGTCTTTTGACACAATTTCCATGTTCATGTGCTACTCCCATCCCCCGAAATAAAATCAATAAAGTGGCGACATTTCGCAAAAATGACGCGCAAGAACAAAATATAAAGGAGATATTTTACACCTAAACAGGCCACAAAGATATACATTAGCATGGGATTTATGTGTATCTGATATTAACATCCTTCAATCCTTAGATCTTCTGCAGATAAATTTAATGTACATGAAGATTTTTTGTGTGACAATACAGTCATAACAAAAGATTGCTCCAGTTATGTCTGATCAAATACTACAGGTACACAAATGAGCACATATATATTCTGTTTTGCACGTTATGGTATATCCAAACTGCTATTGTAATACAAGTACAAAAGGTCGGCTTTGCTTTTGAGAAACGTAGCCTCCACGGGCCAGAGATTCAAAGCCATCATTTGTCATCGTTCCCGAACAGCGCTATACAGGGTAAGAATGCCCTAACACATGATTGATCGATGTCTTCCAATAAAACCACTTTATTTGTTCTCAGCTTATCGCATAAAACTGCAGCTAAATGCATTAGCGATTGACTTAAGGGAGAAAGATCACCGCCTCCTTAACCTCTTCGGCGTTAATTCTTGTAATCAACACGGACAGGGAGCTTGCGAACATAGTTCACCTGTTTCGCCCACATAAACACTTGTCTTCTTTGTGTCTCTAGCACCTTTATCGACTATCAATTGCCATTCCGGATCATTCAGTTCCGATTCATTAATTGTATTTGCCCTTAACCTTTAGGAGGGTTCTTTGTGGCTCAGGGACCGTGATGTGCCGGCAAATGAGAGGATGTTCGTCCCTGACAGCCCAGTAGAGGTGGGTTGGGCTGATGTGGGGGTTGGGAATTCTTTGGATGCCTTGGGGTGTTGAAATATATATAAAAGAATTATTTCGCTTTGTGCGTAATAAAAAAATGGAATGTCGGGGATGGACGAGGTTTTGGTGCATC